ACATCTTCCAGTGACCCAGGCTACCAAACAATGTGCTAAGTTTTGCAATGAACCCATGCGGAACTTTTCTTCTGCAGCTTCCTCACACTCAGCCTTCACAGAATAGAAGAGTTTGGGCCTTGCCTTGGATCAAGCCTTAACTTAAGGGAATGTTGTGGCTGTTTTTGTTTTTTTTTTAAGTCTACACCACTTAAACATTCTCCATGTTAGTAATGAGGCTGTTTCACTTTACCATTCGTGTGTTCACTGGAGTGACATTTTTCATTTCCTTCAAGAACTTTTCCTTTGTGTTTACAATTTGGTTAACCATTTAGCATAAGCAGCCCAGCTTTCACCATGCTTTCCTCACTGAATGTAATTATTTCTATCTTTCAACTTAAAGTGAGAGATGTGAAACTCTTCTTTTCACTCGAACCCTGGAGACCATTGTGGGGCTATTCACTGGCCTAATTTTAATATTGTTGTGTCTTAGGAAATAGGGAATCTGAGAAATGGAGACTAGAAAATGGTTGGGTGGTAGTGGTCAGAGCGAACACATTTATCGAGTAAGTTTGACGTCTCATATGGCGACTAAACAATTATAAGAGTAACATCATCATAGTAACATTGGAGATTACTGGTTGCCAATCACCCTAACAGACATAATAATAATGACAATAAAAGTTTGAAGTGTTACAAGAATTACCAAAACGTGGCATACAGACAGGAAGTGAGTAGGTACTGTTGGAAAATAATGGTCCCCTTAGACTTGCTCAATGCAAGATTGCCACAAACCTTCAATTTGTAAAAATAAAAAAAAAATGCAATATCTGGGAAGTACAATAAAGCAAAGTGTGGTCAGGCATGGTGGCTCACTCCTGTAATCTTTGGGAGTTTGGAAGGCCAAGGTGGGTGGATCACTTGAAGCCAGGAGTTCAAGACCAGCCTGGCCAACATGGCGAAACCTTATTTTTACTGAAAATACAAAAATTAGCTGGGAGTGGTGGCACATGCCTGTAATCCCAGCCACTCAGGAAGCTGAGGCAGGAGAATCACTTGAACAAGGAGGCAGAAGTTGCAGTGAGCAGAGATCTGGCCATTGCACTGCAGCCTGGGCAACAGAGCGAGATTCTGTCTCAAAAAAAAGAAAAGTAAAAAAGTGAGGTGTGCCTGCGTTTATTGCATGCAGCACATCGTGGATACACTGTGCTGTTGGGGGTCTGGATTTTGCTGTCTTCCTGTTTAATATCAAATGTTGTTCTTGCACACAATTAACTTACCAGTGGAGAAGTTTTATCTTGTCAAAAATCTTCTCAGGCTTTGTTAGGGCTGGCCTACACTACCCCTTATTCTGGGGTGAGATTAGCCCTACTCCTAGTATGTGGCCTTTCTGAGACAGAAGCTGAATTCCCCTATTCTGGCTAGTTAGAACTCCAGCATTCCCAAGCTATGTGTGACTTCTGCTAGCATTCTGCACATGTTAAACAGTATTCAGCTGAAATTGCAAAGGAGCCCTGTACAGATTTCTAGAGATCTTTCTCTGAACATCTCTCAAATCTCCAGTAGTTTGTCCTTTAATACCCCAGTATTCATCTCAGTGTTTTAAAATTTCTCTCTCTGTTTTCTCTACCTGCCAAGATCCCTGTGATTTACTTGGGCTCTAGAGCACTCTCTGTCATGTGCAGAAAGTACCCCAAGCACATGTCTGTGGTGACTCTGGAGTTCACTTCGTGCACTTCTTTGTGTTCCTGAAAGCAGCTCTTTATATATATTAGTCCCATTTTATAGTTGGTTTGTAGTAGGAAGATAAACGTGTCACCTGTTACTCTGATGGTTCCATTAGATAATTTTTGTTTTTCCACTTCTCTGACCCAAAATATCCACCTTTCTATAATTTTCAATCATTTCTGTAGGTGCTAACCACTGGAGCTTCACAGCATGGTTCTTATTACACTACTTTGAACACACTCTGCACTGGTACAAAGAATGTTGCATTCACTAACTCAAGGACTTTGATCCTGTAATAACCTCCTCTTCATGTTGCCAAATATTTTTCCCTCCCTACTGGCTCATTCTCATTAGCAGATAAGCCTGCTGTAAAGTATCCAGTCTAAAAACAATACCTGCCCTTGACCATGTTCGTTTCCAACTTTGTCTCCATTTCACTGCCGCCTATGATAGCACAATTCCTAAAAATATAAGAATAGTTGTGCTTTCTGAGTTCCCGCACATTCACCTTCTTTCTTTTCTGAAGCTCATCTAATCAGGCCCTCGCGGCAATGACAGCAGGTCATAAACAAAATCCATCTTCCTAAACCAGTGACCGACGCTTGGTTTTCCTCTTGCAGGATTCGATACTCTTTATCACCCTTCTTTCTCAATTTATTTCTAATTTTGCTTCTAGACTGCTACAGTCCACTGGATTTTCTCCTCCTTTACATGCTGCTCCTTCTCCCTCTTTGTCTCACCTGCTGATTCCTCCTCCTCTTATTCTGGTACCTTAAATGATGGTGTGCCCTAGTGACTGCTGGGGCAGCCACTTCTCCCATGTCATTGACCACTGTTCCCCTTGTCAAAACTGCTCTTCTCATTTCTTCTCTGCTTCTGCTGGAGACACTTTCAGTCTCCTTGTTATTAGGCAAAGTATGATTCCGCTAAGGGTTCGTCTTTATCTCATGTGCAACATTCACTCCATAAACATGTTTTATTTGTTTTACCTCCAGAATAGATTGTGAATTCCACTGCTTCTCATGACCTCAACATTACTACCTTCATCCAAGGCATTTTTATTTTACCTGAATATTTTCATTTTCTGAAATAGCCTGTTAGGTATAGTACTATTCTTGCTTTCTAGCCCAGTCCATTCTTCAGCCAGCTACTGGTGTTATAACTAGAAAGATAAATCAGGCCATGGTGCTGTAGTGCTCAGAGTCAACAGTGCCAACTCTTTACATTTAGGAAAAAATAATCCATACTTCTAAGGTTGCATTTTCTAATTACTCAGGATTTCACAAATTATTGATCCCTGGGTCCCACCTCTGAAGATGCTTATTTAATTAGTAGGAACTTCAGCCTGAACATCAGGACCTTTTTAGAGGTCCTTTTGCAACCTGAATGTATAACAAAGTTTGATAATTAATAACCAGTGATTTTTTTGGGAAGGAGGAAGAAAGAACAATTCCCCACAGAGCTGGAAGATGGATTTACAACCCCCAAAGATTATGATTTAATTGGTGTAGGTTGGGACCAAAAATGCACCTCAGTGTTTTCTTAAACCTCCCAGGAGATTCTACAGAAGCATCTGAATTGAGAACCTCAGCCCCATACTACCTTGTCCCTGCCTGTTCCTCCAATCACACTGACCTGTTTGTGAAGCACATTTTCTTCCTCTAGGCTGCAATGTCTCACTGGTGACTTAATATTAATTTCACCAAAGCTTATTTAACATATTTGAAGAACAATCACATGGAGACATTAATCATATTATGGTCAGCTACGTTATTCCAAATAGCTAGGCTCAGTTTCAGCTCATCTGACCTTTGCCTTGGTTAAAAATTTGTGGTTGCCTTTTCTGCAAGGGCAAGTGGTACAAAAAGCATCCCAGAACACTTTTATCTGACATTTCAGATTCCTGACCTGGATCCTTCAGAGCAGATTACACAGAAAGCAGGCTGATGTACTACTTTGCCCTTCACAACCACGGTAAGAGTCAACTCTGTTTATAAGAAAATGCTTGGGAAACAGATACTAGGTTGTCCCCCTTTTTAATTTATCTGTCAACATTTGGGAAATAAATCAAGTATCCCAATTCTTCTGCTCTAAAGTGCAAGGCAGAAATGAGAAAAATCTCATGAGTATGTTTAGCTTGTGTCTAACCGAATATATATTTTCCAAATTATTCACCTGGGGATTTTTTCTTTCAGAAATACAAAGTTAGTTTCCTCCTATGACTTCTAAGTCTGTGTCACTTCCTTTCACTGGCAAGTAGATTAAAAAATGCATTTCTTCCCAGTCAGAAAGGAAGAAGAGGTATCAAGGAGACAAGGATTAAGGACTGAAGGACATGAGAATCTCCTGCTCAAGAAAGAGCTATCTCCACTACCTGAAAAATCACAGAAACCTTCCCCTCCTAAAAACTGCTCTGAGACCACAATTTGGGGAATTTTAAAATGCAAATAATCACATTAATAGAAATCTTTAACTTCATACAGTTACTTTTGCAATGTCGATGGATACTGTAATGGTAGATTAATGTACACTACTCTCGGAGAATCACAAAAATCGCAGGTCTGTGTCTGATAGACATCAGAGAACACTAGCAACTTATTTCATAGATGAAGAGTGTGAGCCTTAATGGAAATTTGGTGACTGGAATAGAAGTTCAAAATGAGACTGATGCTTACATTTTAGATGCAATGAGATTACTGCCAATGTTTTCTGCAAGTTAGCCCACCCTATTTTAATTTTTTTGAATAAATACTCTGCTTAATTTAAAAATGTTGCTATGGCTTTCCAAAATAATGATAGATTTAATGTTCAATAGAATAGATGGGCAAAGAAAACCACATTTCTGAAACTAAAACAAACATTATGAAAAGAGATTTTATGGCTCTTTAGAAAAACTCTGATATATAGCTTTGACACATATTTTCTAAAAAGCCATTTATTGAAATGACAAGTGATATTATAAAAAGTATTATATGAATCCAATAAAGCAAAAGCTCCTGGACTTTAGTCCTCAAAACTCATTGCGTTAGCATACAGAAGCCTCATTTCATGAATTAAATCTTACGGTTCCCACCTTCTTAGCTGTTAATTATTTAAAACATATTTTAGGTAAATAAAACCTTATCTTGGAGTTTATGGGAATTCATGGTTAGGTTCTAGAGTTGTATTTTTTTAGTGGGATAAGACTGAATTTCTAAGTTCTAGTTATTTTCACATTAGTTCAAGCCCCATCATCTTAAAACATTGTTAAATTAACTCTATAGCTGCCACGTGGCTCATGTTCCTCTGCTCACCTCTCACAATCAACTGGCTTTGGTGCTCCACAGCTGCAGCCTCATTTCGGGCTATGCAGGTGTAATTCCCATTGTGCATCAGGGAGAGATTGGAAATCCTCAAGGAGCTTGTGAAGTCAATGTTGTCAATGGTCACCCCAAGGCTCCCAGGGATTGGCCGGCCATCCTTCTGCCAGGTGATCGTGATGGGTAAGTCCCCTGAGACCACGACACAAGGGATGAAGACCCGCTGCCCAATGGAGAATCTTGGGAACTCAAAGGGTTGTATGAAAGGTGGAACTGAAAGAAAAAGAGAAAGTAACAGAGGAAAGATAATCACAAACTGTGCTTATTTGACATTTGCTTTTCCTTTAACCCTGAACATGACACTGAAAGAGTAGTAGAGGCCGGGCGCGGTGGCTCACGCCTGTAATCCCAGCACTTTGGGAGGCCGAGGCGGGAATCACGAGGTCAAGAGATCGAGACCATCCTGGTCAACATGGTGAAACCCCATCTCTACCAAAAATACAAAAAATTAGCTGGGCATGGTGGCACGTGCCTGTAATCCCAGCTACTCAGGAGGCTGAGGCAGGAGAATTGCCTGAACTCAGGAAGCGGAGGTTGCGGTGAGCTGAGATCGCGCCATTGCACTCCAGCCTGGGTAGACAAGAGCGAAACTCGTCTCAAAAAAAAAAAAAAAAAAGAGTAGTAGGGACAATCATAGATACAGCATAGAAATACAGGAACAGTAGCAAATTTGAAATTACACTTCCATTATTTGAATTTTCTCATCATTTAAAGTAAAAAGCATGAAATTGAAAATTCGTTCAATTTGTACTTCAGCAAATTAGTTACTAAACCTAATTTTGTTCAACAAACTTTTAAAATTTAATAACTATTTTTGAATGAAAACATTTCAGACTGTATCCTGTAGTGTAAACAGTGAGAAAGAGGGATTTAGGCTTGGTTTTCCTTCAAAGCTTTTTAAATGATGTATACAAGAGGAGCTTTCTTTCCTTCTTTGCTACTACGGCACTACAACTACTGTTGCCCTTTCTAATTGTTTCATGCCTTGTAAATAGGCACATTCTAAATCCACTGAAGAATCAGAGACTTCAATTTTGGCTGGATGTAATGGCTCACACCTGTAATCCCAGCAATTTGGGAGGCTGAGATGGGAGGATCACTTGAGGTCAGGAGTTTAAGACCTTCCTAAGCATAGGCAAATTAATGAGACCCCCACCTCTACAGAATTTTTTTTTTAAGTTAGCCAGGTATGGTGGTGCACACCTCTGGTCTGTGCTACTGAGGAGGTCAAGGTGGGAAGACCCCTTGAGCCCAGGAGTTTGAGGCTGAAGTGCGTTATGATGGCACCACTGCACTCCAACCTGGGTGACAGAGTAAGACCCTGTCTCTAACAAAATAAAAATAAATAAAAGTAAAATAAATATTCCAATTTTATTGTTCTTTTTTATGTCCAACTAATAACCATTAACCATAAATATTTATTTCATATTAGAATGACTACATCTTTCCTTTGCCTCTCTTAGTTTTCCACATTTTATGTGTGTAACTTTTAATTATGAACTGGTCCATGGCAACCTATTGGAGTTGTTGATGGGTTGCTAAGGAGGTCCGGTTATAGTCTTCAGCCTGGCCCTCCATAACATTGCAAGTAAACTCAACCTGGAAAGCTCTTTCCTGACTCAGTTTCTCTGAGTGATGCCTATTTGTCCATCTTTCCTCAGAAGCACTCTTCCTCAGTGTCCTCCTAGATAATTTCATAGGGCATTAGCATTCTGAAATAGTAAAAATGGAGTCAGAGGAACCACGTTTGAATCCTACCTGGTTACTTGTTACAGATCATGAGCAAGGTAATATGCTCTTTCATCAGTCTTATGGGTTAGTTATTCATTGCCTTACTTTGCAGCTGGGAAAAGTGATACTCAAAGATGTTACCTTGCCCTTTTGGTCTTAGAACTAGTTAGCTGTTCTAGGAGGCCTTAACGCCTGTCAATATAGCTAATATCAGAGCCTGCAATGTAAGCCTTTTGCGTGTTTTGCATACATTCTTTTAAAGAAAAAATGTTAACTTTTACGCAGGTGCTTGGAAATGACTAAGAGTACAAACTAAGATGAGTAATCATTTGATCATATAATAGAAACCAATTGTTATATTAGGGGTTTTTCCTAACGAAGTTATTAAACATGTCTGCGGTTTACTCATCAATTGTACGTCCACTTCAACTGTCAGCTTCAGGGAAAGGTAAGGGATCTGGCTGAGAAACATTAATAGAAAACCATTCATTTATTTATTTGTTAATTCAATCAAGTCATGTTTATTGAGCATGTGGGATGTGTGTGGTGGCACTGAATGTGCAGGGCACACAGCAATAAGGATAACCCATCAGCCTCTGCCAGCACAGCTTTCACGCATAGGCAGCAGACAGCAAGGAAGTACAGCTATGGTGCTTCTCTCATTTCACACGATCACTATGACTGTTGTCTGCTTTCAAAAGCAGTTGAGAGTTAGAACTCAGAATTGCAAATACAGCCAGGGTTAGAAGAACTAGGTAGCTCAAGTTAGCTCTTACCAGGGCAATTAATTTTTTAAAATGGCCAAAGGTACCGACAAGCACACTCAATGTCAAAACTGCTGTGGATTCTCCATGTAAAGTTAGAGCTTTCGGATTGAAATGAGCTGATCTGATGCTAACAGAAAAAGGTCTCAGGATGAGGTTCTACCTGGTGCTGGTTGAGAGAATCGGTTCAGATTAAGGTGTGAATGTTCTCAGTTGGAATGTGCTGGAGAAAATATCATGTTGTACCAAAGGTGCTTGTATTTCTTTAAATCTTGCCCCCAAGTGGCATAAATGTTCACTATATATGTAAATATTATTAATACTAAATTGCCATGCTTCATTAAAGAAAATAATTACATTTCCTCCCCTTTGATTTCTTGGACACAAAATCCTGGTTGTCAGCATACTCAGACAAAGCCTGGATTGGTGCGTTGCCATCTGAATTACAGACAATTTTCCTAAGATAAGAACTTTGGAGCCAGACTACTTTGGTTTAAGTTCAGCTACGCTACTTGCTACAGTTACTTAACCGCACTCAGGGTCTCAGTTTCCTTATCTATAAAGTGCAGTGCTGCCTTGAGTTCTGAATAAGTTAACACAGCAGTGAACAAACTTAGTCATGCATCGGAATCAGTTTCTTAGCATTTGTTCTATTTCACAAGCCTTTAAGATGAGGAAAAACAAGTAAGTTGAAAGATTACTAAGCTAATTATCTCTATCAGTTACAACAGGGAGAAGGATACATAAGGACTTACTTTCCATTCTCCAAGTCAAGAAAGAAAGGTAAGACATAGCATAGTTTTTAACCTAGCTATTTAATAATAAGGCTGGGCATGGTGGCTCACACCTGTAATCCCAGCACTTTGGGAGGCCAAGGCAGATGGATCACCTGAGGTCAGGAGTTCGTGAGCGGCCTAGCCAAAATGGCAAAACCACATCTCTACTAAAAATACAAAAAAATTAGCCAGGCTTGGTGGCAGGCACCTGTAGTCCCAGCTGAAGGAGGCTGAAGCAGGAGAATTACTTGAATCCAGGAGGCAGAGGTTGCAGTGACCTGAGGTCATGCCACTGCACTCCAGCATGGGTGACACAGCAAGATTCTGTCTCAAAAAAAGAAAGAAAACAATATACAGTGTAGGTTGTAAATAATTGTGAAGTATTAGAATGTCCCTTTAGAGTGTAAGAGAGTTATAGGACACAGGAAATGCATACCCATACAATTTTTCAAGAACAGAAGTAGCAAGTAGCTATAGAAGAATCAGCATTAAAACCAAAACCCAAACCCTATGTTTTCCATAATTCCAAAATATTTGCAATTCATCTATTTATAGTATTTAAAGAATAATTTTATTTCGTGCAAAGCAACAGGGCTGAAAATCAGGAGGTACACTTCCAAAGCACTGAAAAACCAGTGTCAGAAAGCTAATGCAGTAAATCTCACACACATTACTCCGAGGATAATCCTTTGCTTTGAGCATCTTATTTTAAATCATTACAATACTCCCAGTTATCTCATTTCTTGGCCTAAATCAGATTCTGGGAGTTCAGGCATATTGAAGAGGGCTTAGTAAGAAACCACAGTTGGCTAAAGAAGAAGGATGAGAAACTAAAAGTCAGCTATAAAGAACAGACACAAAAACGCAGCACACACAGTAGCTCGATGACATCTTGTTTGGGAGCACATTGGCCTCAGTAGTCAGCTTTTTTTGTAATTTAATACAAAATCATAATACGTAATTATAATTCTGAATTATAAGTCATGGCTAACATATGACATAAAAAAGATAAATTTAAAATATTTTAAAACATATCTACAAAAGAAAAAGCCTTTTCGAAATGGTTAAAATAAAAATCAAAGAAAAGTTTAGTTAGAGGGAATAGCCCTTTATCTAGAAGAATGTCAAAATTAAGTTTGCTATGTGTTTTTTTTGCTTGCCACATTTCGTGAGGACACAGTACGTCAGTATGTGCATTATATCATTGTTATGTAAATTAAATCACAGGACCTATTTGTCAACTACGTCCATTCTTTCCTCCCTGCTTAAGTTGTCTTGCTTGTATTAGCTGTGAATTGCAAGTCTGCTGCATACAAATGTTTAAAAATTTTTAAAGTGTCTGAAGTCTTATATTTTACATACCTAAGACATAAAATCGATGGCACAAAGTAACCCCAGTGATTAGAAAACTCTTCTCATGATTTTGGGAAAGCTGAGCCTTCTGTTTGAGACACACTAATCACTTTACCTGATTCATGCTATCGCCAAAATAAGGTAAATTCTCTGAATCTTGTTGACAGTAAAAGCTTGTTTACCATAGGAGCAGAAATCCTGAATATGACATGCCCCATTTTTGACATACCCTTTCTATAAGAAATATGTAAATATCTGACAAAGGTCATTTATTACCAGGTTTGTGTATTTCACTCTATTTAATGGCAGGGTCCTTTGTCTAGGCAGCTCAGAGCCATTGAATACTGCCAAATGTCAATTTTGACTCTTATTCTCTCTAAACCCTTAACAAGAATATTTGATCAGACTAATATATTTCTGTGCCTTGTCTCTTAAAAATTAATTGTATATTCTTCTTCATGGGGGAAGTATTTTGATTTCTCCTAGAGGAGTATACTATGTTGATAAAATCGTGGGTGGGGTGCTCATCAATTTGGGTGATTAGCAGTGTTATCTTGATCCAGTATCTTGAACTCTGTGATTCTATCTC